TCCCACCGGTTCCTGGAATTGCGATTGGAATGAAGAAGAAGATATCTAAGCTGGCCTGTGCATACAGTAAAACAACAAATTTGACTGGATCTATACTGTTGGAACTCAACCAAGAATTAGGAGAAGTGCAACTTGCAGCACTCCAAAATCTTTCGACTATAGACTATCTACTGTTAAAAGAACATATGGGATGTGAACAGTTCCCAGGAATGTGTTGTTTTAATTTGTCTGATTTTTCTCAAACTATTCAAATTCAGTTAGACAATGTCCATCATATTGACGTGGTCCAGCCACGCCTAGTCAAGCAGGTCCTGAAGTGCGGAAGGGGGGTGAAGAAAAGAAAGAAAGACAGAAAGAGCTGGGAGGGCTGACGCTCCCACACGTAGCCAGCAAAACTTTATTGAAGGTCCAGGGTTTATATAATGCAGTGGGGTTACATGATTCCAGGACATAGCATTATCCAATAGACAATCAAGCACAGTATTGACGTCAGCGGTAGCCAGGGAAAGGTAGGCTCAGCAGGCTTCCAGTTAGTTGCTCATGGAATGCGTAAACAGAATGTTCTTTGTTCTCCATTCCTGCCACATCGGCAAGTGGGGGAAGGGCATAGCCCGCTCCCCACATCTCCCCCTTTTTTATTTTATAAGAGGGTGACAGTGCCTGTCTTAGGTGTTCCTGGATGACTCATCTGGACTTACCCGCCATTGGTACCCACATTCCATCATGAGGGCCCTGTCTTAGGTTGCCAGACGTCTCCAAGACACTTACCCGTCATTGACTATCCTGTCCCCTTCTCAATATCTGGCATCGGGGGGTGACTTTTCAGCTGAGACATATGTAGCTCTGCACCAAGGTGCAGAAATGCTTTTGAACTCATTTTTAGGAAACATACACACAATGGCTGCATGTAATGAACACAATGAGAAACACACAATAGCTGCACATAATGATAACAGAAAATGAGGCAAGACTAGAACTTATGATTTACAAGTTGGGGGGCCATCTGAAATTTCAAATGATGCAGGTCTCTTAAGGCTTGCTGGATGAGTTTCCACATGCTGCGAAGGACACAAGGCCCTAGTAACAGCAACAAAAGCCATAAAATGCTTAGGGTTAAGAGAGGTGCGACAACATGCTAGAGACTATTCAGGGCGTCCCTGAACATGTCTTTTATCTGATTTAATATATCAGATGCAGTTTTGGCTGTAAATAAGATATGATTAAATAGTTCTGTGGTGGCCGGGGGTATAACTCCCCCTTTTTTGTTTTTTCCAAATGAGCTTTAAGGGTGCCATGGGCATGTTTTATAGTGCTTTGCTTTGTGGATTATATGGTATCTTAGTTTTGTGGGAAATATGCATTACATGGCTGACATCGAACATGTTGAAAGACAGACATAACTTGAATATATATATAAATTGCTTACATACATTAACAGAATAGGAATACAGATACATAACAAAGGCAGACTTACAATTACTAGTTATCTTTAATGAAACTAAAAAACTAGTTAAATNAAGAAAAGAAAGAAAGACAGAAAGAACTGGGAGGGCTGATGCTCCCACACATCGCCAGCAAAACTTTATTGAAGGTCCAGGGTTTATAAAATGCAGTGGGGTTACATGATTCCAGGACATAGCATTATCCAATAAACAATCAAGCACAGTATTGACATCAGCAGTAACCGGGCAAAGGTAGGCTCAGCAGCGTTCCAGTAAGTTGCTCATGGAATGCATAAACAGAATGTTCTTTGTTCTCCATTCCTGCCACATTGGCAAGTGGGGGAAGGGCATAGCCAGAAGCAAGGGCGGTGTTTCCACACATCTTCAATGTCTCCCTATTTTCAGAGTGAGGAGTCTTGGCTCGTCTTCAAGGACAAGATATGTTTCTGTGGACAGATAACTTCCAAGGACTGCGCCGGTTGTTCTCAAGCTGGTGTTTTCCCATGCTGCGTTCAGACATGGGGGAAGGTGCTTTCCCATTCTGCCTACAAACAGGTGAGAAGACAAAGGCGGTCCCCAACATCTCCCCCTTTTTTCTTTAATAAAACAACCAGCCTAACTCAGACTGGGTCAAGGTATGTACCTGTCTTAGGTTGTATGGTTGAAGTAAATCCTTACCCATCATGGGGCCATAGTCCTCTGTTGACCACTCCCTGTCTTAGGTTGGTATTTACAATTCAACTCTATCTTACCCATCATTGGCTACCATACTTGACTTTAGAACTTATGATTTTCAAGTGAGGGTAGGCCGTCTGCAATTTCAAATAACGCAGGTCTCAAGGCTTGTTGGATGAGTTTCTACATGCTGTGAGGGACACAAGGCCCTAGTAACAGCAACAGAAGACATAAAATGCTTAGGGTTAAGAGAGGTGTGACAGCGTGCCAGAGACTATTCAGGGGTTCTTTGCACATGTCTTTTATCTGATTTAATATATCAGATGCAGTTTTAGCTGCAAATAAGATATGATTTAAATGGTTCTGTGGTGACTGGGGATATAACTCCCCCTTTTTTGTTTTTTCCAATTGAGCTTTAAGGGTGCCATGGGCATGTTCCACAATGCCTTGGCCTTGTGGATTATATGGTAACCCAGTTTTGTGGGAAATATGCATTACATGGCTGAGATCGAACATGTCAAAAGACAGACATAACTTGAATATATATATATATATAGGTTTTGACAAACTACTAGTTAAATTGCATACACAAATTAACAGAATAGGAATACAGATACATAACAAAGGCAGACTTACAATTACTAGTTATATCTAATGAAATTAAGAAAACTAGTTAGATAGCTTAGGTATTTGTAAAAACTTATTGACAATATGAGGGATATCATCTAATTGATTTTGGGTAGTTTGAGAAATTGAAACAGCACATTCTTGGAAACTGATCACATCTTACATGCTCTTTTAACATCAGACAGTTCACAGCAGCGCGATTCTGAAGCACTGCAGCTCGCAATTCTCTCAGTTCTTGGTTGAGTTCAGATAATACAGAAGCAGTCAAGTTTGTTTTGCTATATGCGCAGGCTAGCTTAGATATCTCCTTTAGCATTCCAATGACAAGTCTAGGAACTGGCAGGAGGAATGCAGCTGCAACTGCAACAGTGACAGGACCTCAAAGTTTCAAGTTTTCATCACAGTCAGATGGCAGAACTCAGAGAAGTCTCTTGTGCTTATATTCAGGATGGTCTATTAGAGCAGGAAGAATGCGTCTTACACTATCAACACCTTGATAGTGTGGAGAAAGGGCTTAATATATTTCATTATCACACAAAAATACCCAACTATTTGGAAATCTATATCTAGAAGACCATTTTACAATGATTGCACAATTGCAGTAAGAGGCTACACGAGTACAAGTAATACATACACAATCAGTAATTATAGTAATATTAATAGGTAAATTTAATTAGGCATCAGGCGCAAGCACTTTAGGGAGAAGAGTGATGTTTATGCCTGAGATATTAGTAAACACCATAGGAGAAAGTCTTATGCCTATTAAATTCTTCTTCAACAGTTCACTGATAGAGGAATTTCTTGCTACACAAAAAGATAACTTGTGCAACTTTTGGCTCACAAGTTGTTGTAACTACAAGTTAGGTGAGGAAAAATTATTTTCTGGAATGAGTGATATATTTAAATACACCTAATTACTCTTATACAATATGACAGGAGTTCTTTTTTGAAACTTTTCACAAGTATAACTGCCAATATCTTCTCGGGACAAAACTGCTTTATAAATATCATAATGATCACCATTTCTAACAGACCAATCAGCAATATCATTCTATCTAAGTTTTCCTCTATCATGTGTCTATACATTTCTTCTGTAGTATGTACATACATAAGTGCCATTATTGGAAATAAAAAAAAAATACTATTATTTAGTGGGCTTCAGTTTTCCGTGTTTGACATGCAGACTTTTGTTGAGGTTTTTTGATGGTCACCTTCTGGAATGACTCCTCCAGAGGATGTTGATGTTGGAAGTTCTCCTTCATATCGTATCTGAATTCATTTTCTGGGCGGCCAGATCAAGCATTGATCCTCTGTAAAAACACAAGCAAACCCCTTGCCCCACACCTTGATATGATCTTTATGCCATAGTGAAGAACTCATTGGAGACTACTACACAGGAACTGTTGTTGTTTCAGAAAAGGAAATATTATCAGAAAAATGTACCTCTACCACTGACCGTCTATCACCCTCCAGAAGATCAAAATTAAGGATATGTAAAGCATGCACCAATCTTCAACTTGCAACTAATTTTATCATATCAGGGAGTAATCCCCCCTCTTTGTATTAATAAATAATGTTTAAGAATAATGTGACAATATTCAATGAGAGCTTGACTTGTAGAATTGTATGAAATGCCTGTATTATGAGTAATGTTATATAGCTGAAAAAAATGTATGTAACACAGGGGAGAGGTAAACTGGAGCATTGTCAGTCAGCTTAAGAGATAAAGCTTCAAACATTTTATCAGCAACACTTGAAACAAGAAGCTACAAAATCATTTTTCCTTAGTTTACTCAATCCTAAGTAACCAATACTCAATTTGCTGAAATCTAGTTCTTCACTAGTTTAGTAGTAATTAAACAGTGATTATAAACAAGAAAAGATTTACAAATGACAATGGTTAAAGATTTGATGAGAACTTACTGTAAGATAGTTGATATATGGAAGTTTGGATATTTATGTAACATAAAACACTCAGTAATAAAATCGAGCATTATTCTTTTTGACAGCACTTTTTAGGTGGGTATATACCAGGTAAATAAGCCAAATTACTCAAATATTTTCTTTAATGAGAAGAAATTCTACTGATATGTTCCAGGGGCCCTCTGGAAAATATCAGAGTTAATTGAGAGGTAAAAATACCTTTTTAAATTTTGGTTTTGGGAAGCCGTCAAAAGTTTTCAAGGCACTTGCCTAAATAGAATTATAGTTATTAACACTTATTATTTAACTGGAATGATAATAAGAAAGTTTAAAAGCAAATGCAGGTTACATAGTTGTTAACACTTAGCTTAGTCTTTTTAATTTTAAGATCTTATTTTCTTAAGTACTCAGACAATTCATTAAGACTTTAAGCATAAGAAACTGTTTTAATAAAACAATTAGAGAACCCTTTGCAATCTTTCAATATTAAGAGCAGACTAACAGTTAAAGAATACTTTGTCTTTCCAACTGAAAACAAAATTCCAATTTTGCTGTGTTCTCGATATTAAGACTCACTTGCTTTAATTTAATACAGCATGATTATATCTGTAAGAATATAGTAATTTATTCTTCATTTGCCCTATGGTCCCAAGCACACAAGCCGGTGATAACTATGCCTGGGCTTGCCTGGGGCTTGGCTGGGTTTATCCCACCATATCTCTAAACATCTTGACTCTCCCCCAAAGCAACAGGCTGAGCTGATCTGCCACAACAAAAGGCACCACGCTGATGCACCACACTGCTCTCTCTCTTTGTCTCTGTCTCCCTTTAAATAAATAGCTATACTTTAGAACAACTAACCTTCTTTTACTCTCAACAAAACTAATTTCCATTCTTTTTACTTTCTCTTATTAACACACACATCTTTAACATACTAAAATATTTTCCTTATTATATCAAGTAGTTTTCATTAGAACTTAAAACTATTTGATACTTTAACTTTCAGAGAACACTGAAAAATATATCATTGGAAACTGTTACACTAGCATTCTTCAGATTGATACATTTATGAACATATTTTATCATTTTTGGAAATGTGCCTTATAGCACAATTTCTCATTAAGTACAAAATATGTCTATATAGCTTAGCAAACTTTAAGAATATTGGTTACCACAAAAATTCTTAGGCTTGCAGATATATACATTGTTATAGATTAATACAGTATTATTATTAAAAAGTTTATTTGCTACACTTGTTTACTTATTTTTAGCAACCATGCTAAATTACTTATAAAACTTTCACCACACATCAAAGTCAAGCCTTTCTTTAAGTATTTTCTTGGAATATTTAACAGGTAATATCAACTTAAATGACTTTAAGTAAACTTTGGCAGCTAATAACTATAAGGACATGTCCATTTCAGTTAAGCTTAAATTAGCATTAATGCATAATATTTTTTTATTAGATTTTCTGGAAGTTTTAGAATGCCCAATTTTCACAAGCAGTTGTTTTTAAATCAATTTTATTAATACCTTCCGGAGGTAGAAAATATTTTTTTGTTACACACTTAGACACACAAACATACAGACTGAGACATAATGACTACAGTTAACAACACTCTTCATATAAATACATATACAGACAAACTGACATAAAGATTTGAGTTTCTAATACTCAATGGTCTTCTTTCTTCTTAGTTTATTTGATTAAAAGTACTTAAGTTTTCAAGAATACACTCTATATATTTAGCTGCATAACATTATATTGCATACCTTTTTTAGGGGCCAAGCCTCTCTAATCAGAGAGTTTGTACTGGGGCCAGGTTTGTGTGCAGAAGATAAGATACTTCTTTTTAGAGTTTAGGGATCCAACTGCTCTCAGTTAGTTTTCCTAGTTTTGTTCTGCCCGAGCTTTAGTCATTCCTCAAGACGCCCCTGCCTCTCTGATAAATGCAGGGACTGTGTGACTTTTCCCTACTAGCCCTGATCTGAGTCACAAGCTTCTTTGGCTTCCCTGGGGCTGCTGAGGAGGAAATGCTTAGCTCCAGGATTATTGCCTCTAAGGAAAGCAGTTAATAGAATGGAGCTATTTACATGTTGATCTGAGGGTTCAGCTTAATCACAGGCTGTATTTACATTACACAGGAGGAAGTAACGCAGGGCTAGGAGGACTGCTTTGAATGGGGAGCAAGGTGAAAAAGCAATCTTTAAGGTCAATGATAGCCATATTCCAGTCTTTTGGAATCATAGCTGGAAAAGGGAGGCCTTGTTGTAAAGGTCCCATAGGTTTAAGAACTGCATTAATTTGCCTTAAGTCATGTAAGAGTCTCTAATTAAGGTCCACAGGCCAAATGTGTCCACCAGAACCTTTTTTGGACCATGGGTAGAATAATAAGATTGAAGTCCCTTTCCTACCTCATTCCACAATTCTATGTCTACTGTCCTTTCTTCCGGGAACTAACGGCACACTTTCTCAATAAAATCTAAAAATATTTCTAATTGGGGTTTCCCTACTTTAATTCCTCTGGCGGCTAACAACCTCTTTAGCCCGCAAACATATAACTGTTTGCTCTCCACCTGTCCCGTATTGGACTCCCAGAAAAATTCACTTACCACCTCCACGTTTCTTGTGCCTCTTCTCTCATGCGTCTTCTCTGGTTACCCTGGCCAGGGCTTTCTCTTCTCTATTGGCCTCGTGGTGGCCCTCACCTTCTCCCTCTCCTTCAGGTCCCTGTTCGGGCACCACTTGTCACGGTCCAGCCGCGCCTAGTCGAGCAGGTCCTGAAGTGCGGAAGGGGGGTGAAGAAAAGAAAGAAAGACAGAAAGAACTGGGAGGGCTGATGCTCCCACGCATCGCCAGCAAAACTTTATTGAAGGTCCAGGGTTTATAAAATGCAGTGGGGTTACATGATTCCAGGACATAGCATTATCCAATAGACAATCAAGCACAGTATTGACGTCAGCAGTAGCCGGGCAAAGGTAGGCTCAGCAGGGTTCCAGTTAGTTGCTCATGGAATGTGTAAACAGAATATTCTTTGTTCTCCATTCCCGCCACATCAGCAAGTGGGGGAAGGGCATAGCCAGAAGCAAGGGTGGTGTTTCCACACATCTTCAAGGTCTCCCTATTTTCAGAGTGAGGAGTCTTGGCTCGTCTTCGAGGACAAGATATGTTTCTGTGGACAGATAACTTCCAAGGACTGCACCGGTTGTTCTTAAGCTGGTGCTTTCCCTTGTTGCGTTCAGACATGGGGGAAGGTGCTTTCCCATTCTGCCTACAAGCAGGTGAGAAGACAAAGGCAGTCCCCAACATTTGTGTTGCTATTTATTGCATTTCTCTCCATTTAAAATTTCTTTTGTTTTTGTTTTTCACTTCTCACTTTGCAGACTGAGATCTGGCTCACCATTCCTCAACACACCGCCTACACACACACACACATGATCTCCATCTCCTCAACACATTTTAACTATAGTATTCATAGATCAAAATTCAAAATTTGGTAATTAAAGAAACTAAGTCAAGGTCCCAGAGAAAAAACACCATGAGATCTGGGGTCCAGGCAGCTGAGAAGGGAGCCCAAACCACTTGAAAGCTCATGGGAGCCTGGTCCCTGCAGGTCAAATGAAGGCAAATGCTGGGGTGGACCAGTGCTATTGGAAGGATGCTGACAAGAACAGGAAAACATTAAAAGAAAGGATGTCTGTTCTGCATTTCTCCTGCCTCTAATGTTCTGTGTGCCTCAGTTTATAAAAATAACTGGAACCACCCTGGCCCTGTGCCTTCTGTCAGTGAACTGCTGCTAACTGACTCCCCAAGACCAGCAGCTCATCCCCACAGGCTATACAGGCTGTTATTTCTCCCAGGGACAAAAGGTGCTGGGAAGCTGTGTTTCCAAGAAAAAGTGGCTAAAGAGGTAATATCTAAATCCTGACTGCCTGGCCCAGTAGTCTATGTATACCCTCCTGAAAAGGTTATAAGTAGAAGATAGACTAAAAGGGCTGAATCTTTGCAACTGCAATTCCACTGAGTGTCCTATTCCAGTTCCTGACTAGGGCACACCCATCTGTGGGATAACAGGAACACAGAAGAGCCTTGCATTCTCTTCTTGATCTTTCACTTATTTTCCCAACAATTACTATCTGTGATCATCTATCATGTTGAACTCAACCCAATCCTAATGTGTTCTACATACTCGATGATAGTGTATTAAAAATGAAACAATTCTGTATATTGTTTTGTAACTGATATAAAAGAGCTTATTAGTGTTAAAAGTATGTATTATATGAAGTCTTAATTATTATGTTAGTGTTCTTCATGGCTAAGTTGATTGCTGAGAGGAGAAAACAAAATATTTAATTAATTAGGAATACCTACCAGCTTTTGCACATTTAAAAAATACCTCATAGGACCAATGCCTTAAATTGAATTTTTCGATATGAGCAATGTGATTTATTTAACTCTGTATATTGAATTGAAAAATGATTTAAGATTTCAGTGTCAATACACTTTCATTCATGGAACTAGAATGTAAGAAAGCTGTTATCAATGTTGCCAACATTTCCCAGTTGATTAGTCATAGCAGGCAGTTGTCTTTGCGTTAACTCATTTAAAAATAACACTGCTGGGTGTCATAGGGAAAAGCAGTGGAAAGATGGGTGAAATAAGTAAAGAGGCTAAAGAGGTACAAATTTCCAATTGTAAAACAAATTACTCATGGGAATGACAGTACAGCATAGGGAAAACAGTCAATAATATTATAATTCAGAGAGCGGAGGCAAGATGGTGGCATGAGCAGAGCAGTAGAAATCTCCTCCCAAAACCACATATATTTTTGAAAATACAACAAAGACAGCTCTTACTAAAAGAGAGACCAGAAGACACAGGACAACAACCAAACACATCCACACGTGTAAGAAAACAGTGCCTTGCAAAGGGGGTAAGATACAAGCCCTGGCCCCACACCCCAGCTCTGGGTGGGAGGAGAGGAGTTGGAGCG